CAAATAAACAAAAAACACCCACACACAACATAAATTTGATTTCAAAATTTGAAACTTGAACTTTAACTAAAACAGAACAAATGAGAGAACTGTGGTTTCGACTAAAAAACAGAATTCCCCAAAAACCCTTTGGAGAGGAAAGCTGTCGTTTCACAAGCGGCCTCTCCTGTGTAAATTGACGTCTCCTGAGGTTATGCATAAACAAAATACCACAAAGTAAGAAGTAATCAAACAATCAAACAGTGTTTTAAAGTACTCTAAGGCAGACATTTAACTTTCAGTATATATTTAGGTGTAAAATGAAACCTAAACGTTTACACTAAATTGTATTGTGTACTGTGTAAGGCTGAAATGTCAATCCTTACCCAGGAAAAGTCAAATCGGTAGAGAAACTGAATTTCTCAACTATTCAGCTTAGAACATGATCAAACTGTGTCCCTTGGTTCATGTCGAAATGCCTGGAGCATCATCTTCGCTCTCTCTTGATGTTCATCACGGTTCCGGCATCCCGCTGTCTCTGCTGTCTTCCAGGAAAGGTGCTTCAGCTTTTCCTGTGTTGCATCCGTGGATTGGGCCTGTTCTCCCGCGGAGCTCAGAACCTTCCTTTTCTGATGGGGGCGTAAGCCTTTCTTTTCTGTTGAATTTCAGTGGGATAGTCCTGGTCAAAGTAGATTCTCACTCCGTTCAGAAAGACCTTTCTTTTTCCAAGCAGAGCAGAGCACCAGTTCTTTAATTCTGTACTTCAGAAAGTAAATCACTATTGACTGGGGGCTGGCATTCGGCGGTGGCTTCGGGCTGAGAGCTCTATGACATCTTTGCATTCCCAGCTCAGTATCACTTAGGGACAACTCCGATTTAATAAATGTTTCCAAGAACTCCCGTAGGTTGTTCCCTTCTGTGTGTTCTGGGATTCCATAAACACGAATGTTGTTTCTTCGTGATCGGGCTTCCAGGTCTGTCAGTTTAGCTTGTATATTTTCTTGTGCTTGAATAGCTTGAAGCAGAACCTCGTTAGCTACGGTAGCCCGTTCCTCCACCTCCGCCACCCTCCCTTCTGCCCCATCCACTCTACTTATTGTGTCCTTTATGTCTCTGACAATTTCGTTTAATATGTTATCAATATCTTTTCTAAAACACGTAAGTTCCGTGGAGAAGGCATCTTTGAAATTTTTCAGGTCTGTTTTCATGTCCAACCTGGTAGCTTTTAGCTCTTCGTGGATAGCACAGATGCTAGCTTGCAGGCCATCCATACCCTCGTCGCTGTCATCATCTGTGTCTTGCCTCTCTGTTTACGACCAGTTTTCCCCTCCATTAGTGTGAAATGCTGTCAGAGTAATAATTCGAGTAAATTTGGGGATTTTTGGTTAGTGAGTCTGGGAGCTCTCACCTTACACGTACCGGAAACCCCCTGGGTACACCCTTCTAAATGTACAATTGAGGTTTCCAGTTCAAAATAAACCACAATTTCAAAGACAAAAGTCCAAATGGCAACATTCATTTGACATTGCATAGACCTTGTTAGCTAGTTGCAACAAAACCTTAATTTGGAGGAACAGGTCCAACTTGCCCACACCAAATCCACTTCCTGTGTGTGGAGATGTCTGTAAAACTCCTCAAAGTAAAATGTCCAAAGGTCCAGGGGAATGTGTGTGTGTGTGTGTGTGTGTGTGTGTGTGTGTGTGTGTGTGTGTGTGTGTGTGTGTGTGTGCCGTGCAGCACAGGAACAAAATCAACTGGTCTGTCGGTGGGATTGGCTCGCCATCAATGTCAGATCCATTCTAATGCATCGAAAAGAAACCCTGACCTGTCAACAACAGTGTCATAGGAAACACTGAGTTTCCAAATTATCACACTTCACAAACTGTTAGCACATAAAAGTACTGTTTGTAACATTAAACATGTTTACAATTGAAAATAAAACTGTGAAATATGTAATAATCTTTGCATTGGTTTCAAGGGCTTCTTCAGTCTTTTCAGTAGTTAAAATATTTACAATTTCAATCACATTTTGAAGAAAACACAACTGTACCGCCTCAAGTTTTGTTCAGCAAATAAAGATTTCCACAAAACATTGTAACCTATTTCTCCAGTAAACACTACAAACATTTTACTCACAGTGAACTCATAATAAGTGCAAATAATCAATGAACAGGTAAAATAGTTTGCTCACCGATCTCACAAGAGGACAGCGCAGGAGCGTGAGATGGCACCGTCTCTAAGCCCTGACATTCTACGACCAAACAATGCGGAGAGAACCAGAACTAGTTAGTTGTTTTGAACTTAACGCATCATTTTAGCAGTACACATACATGAAAGCATTTTTAGCATAAGCAGCTAGTGCTAACTCTTCCTTCTATATTATTTTTGTACCTTTTTTCAGCGAATCTCTCCCTCTCTTTTTCCCTGCCAGTGCATTCAGAGCTAATGGGGCATAGCCTGTGCTCTCTCAGACGGAGATGGCAGGCGGAACAATGCATCATTTTGCAGATGCTCATCGGCTAAGAGCAATGCATGAGTGCTTCAGAATTGTTAACCATTTAACTGCCGAATATATGGTTTATTCACCATAAAACAAGTATAACTGTTAAAATTAACCATTCTTTTCATGGTTTGGCACATTTGAACAAAGCCATGTTTAAATGTGGGTTACATCTGTCTTCCTCTGCCTCTTGTCGCACTGTCTGCTAATCTTCCCTCGTGTTTCCTAGTCACCGATTTTTCAGGTCTCAGGTCTCTGTGGTTCAAGTTTTTCATTCATTTTCCTCTATGTACTTCACATTTTGGCTTTAGCTTTCCCCAATTTAGGTTTTGTTAGTTTAAGCTTAATCTCCCTTTGCTTTTCTTGGTATTTTTGTGTACAACCAGAAATAAAGGCTTGCTTTTGGTTATTTTCAATTCCATGTCCATTAGTTGCAACTAGGTCTCCACCTCCACCATCTGCTGCAGCAGAAATGGTAATAATACTCTCATTATTCTCATATATTACAATCCATCCATCCATTCGCTTCCACTTATCCTTTTCAGGGTCGCGGGGGGCGCTGCGCCTATCCCAGCTGTCATAGGGCGAGAGGCAGGGTACACCCTGGACAGGTCGCCAGTCTGTCGCAGGGCCAACACACAGGGACAGACAACCATTCGCGCTCACATTCACCCCTAGTGACAATTTGGATTATCCAATTAACCTATCCCCACAAGCTGCATGTCTTTGGACGGTGGGAGGAAGCCGGAGTACCCGGAGGGAACCCACGCAAACACGGTGAGAACATGCAAACTCCACACAGAAAGACCCCGGCCTGATGGTGGAATTGAGCTCAGGACCTTCTTGCTGTGCGGCAGCAGTGCTAACCACCGTGCCACCGTGCTGCCTGCTATATTACAACCATTATATTACAATGGTTCAGGTTTAATTTTCATTTCATATTATTTCCGCCTGTATATACCTATTGCTACAACCCTATTTGAAGCATTTGTTTGTAAGTTGTGTGTTAAACACTTTATCTGTTTTGTTGTATCTGTGAATATCTTTCCTCAACTTAACTCTTGACAACTATCAGTGAGTTGTTCTGGTAGCAGGTGATATTTTCCTTAAGAAATCCTCTCTCAAAAAGCCTTAAGGATGTCTGGTGGTGTGGTGTAAAACACAACTATTTCCAGGACTAGTTCTGGATAAATAACTTTATGAAACTCAAATGCAGTAGAATATAATAGAATAGCCCTTTATTGTCATTGCACATGTACAACAAAATCATGGGTGCTCCATGCCAACTGTGGAGGATTAAAAAAATATAAATAGTAAAGACATCAGGAACAAATAGCAAATGAACTGATATATATACAGTCAAGAGGAATATATACAAAACAAGAGAAAGGCACACAATGGAGAGTAAAGTGCTTGGAAGCAGTGCAAAAGGTCTGTGTATAGAGTTCGTATGTGAGAAAAGGGTTACGGGGTGCAAGGGGTTACCCTGGTTTTACTGAGGCTGGAGGATCTGGCAATGGCCTCCAGATGAGGCAGAGGGCAGCCAGTGATTTTTTTGCATTGTGTTGATTACCGTCTGCACAGGCTTCCTGTTTTCAGTAGTGGCCCCTGCGTACCAAACACCCAGGCAGAAGGAAAGCACGCTCATTTAATGCTTCCTCTGTTACTTTACAAGCTAAGCTATATGGTATGAGTGTATTGTGCTTACTGTGCACAAAATTATGGGTAATGTCTGTCAGATAAACTGGAATGATGGTCAGCAAAATGGAGCACCATGTATGCGTTCTTGTTCCAGCTAGTATCCCTGTCACACAGCTGGGGGAGTGTGTGCAAGGTTGTGTGGAACAGAGCCGGTGAGGCAGTTGTAAAGAGAGATTATATGGATCCAGAGACACTAGTTTTGGCCCACTGAGACTGCAGTTAAAAACTTCTCCTGAACTTCTCCAGAAACCATACTTCCATTAAGATAGAAAAAGCTGCACGGTGAGGTTTGATCTCAAGTTCTAACTACAGGAAATGTTAGTAAATACATATGAAAAAAGTCTGAAGATAATAACTGTTTGTGTTGACTGTCAAATGTTTTTTGTTAGTATAACATTTGTATAACACAAATATCACAGTAATCATATAGTGGTCAGTAAAATGTATTTAGAACTTGCAAATTGATAATGGATTCATCATCTCTTAAGTCATCACAAAGAAATTAGATACAAAATGTGAAAATGGACTCATCACTGACTGACTTTCAGCAAGCTTTCCAAACAAACATAAGCATGTTTCTCTGTGACAGCAGCTGCCAATCAAATGCTTCATCTTATAGAATCAGGTTATTAATCAAAATAAAACTAATAGAATAAATCAGCCAGACGAGAGTTACTACTAATGGCTGAGGTTAGCTTTATTGTTTTAGTATGACCAGTTTAACAGCCATCCTGCCGCCCGACACCAGGGGGCGATAGAGACGCTTTGCTTTCAGTTTTTGAAAGGTCTTGAATTTATTTCTGTAGTCGTTGGTCTGTGACGCATCGGGTCAGCCAATCGGGTTGCGTCAGGCAATTTAAGACAACAAACAGAGGAGATGTTTCAACAAGTGTTCAGCTGAGTAAGTCCATTGTGTTATGTGAGTTGTGCTGATACAGGAGCGACACAGCTAAGCTACTCAAGATGCAGCAGATGCAGTAGGGGAACAGCTCTTCTCATTAGCCAGCTAGCGTTACAAGATAAACTGCGGCTGCAGTTGGCTTTAAGGCGCCCGAAAGTACCGGAAGTAAGTTAGTTCATTTTCAAAATAAAACCCAGTCACAAAGTATGAGAATCAGAATTTATTTATCCCCAAGGGGCAACTAATAAACAACAGAGCAGCATAACGTTTAGATAAGGACAATAAGAACAGGCAATAAGAGTGAAGTATTAAACTCATTTGCTGAAACGATTCTTTACAAAACACTAACAAAAGTAGACATTATTAGGTATAATTAAGTTGAATGAGAATTACAGATTCGAAGATGCGTGAGAGTATTTTAGAATCTGTTGTCGAAAAACACTTGATGATGCTCGTAGAAACCAAGGTTAAGATTACTTTATTTATACCCACAGGTAAATTTGCTTTACAGAAAAATCCCTTCACAAACACACATACCTAATGAAACCTGACAAAACACATATGTAGTAATGAAACAATATGAATCAGAGCCAAGTCAAATAAGTGTGAAAGCCGCAAATATTTGACTATTTGTGTTGTGAATAAGCGTAATGATGGTTTGACGTTATACTCGTGTTACAGTGAAGAAAAGATTGACCTGATAGGCGAGTGAGTCTTTTCACTTTATATTTGGATCATTTTGAGCCTCACATCGAAAATGTTGTCAAAGTTAATATGAAAAATCTGTTTTATTTAATAAGGTAATCATAACTCAAGAAACTACTCAGTTCAGTCTTCATTAGCAGCAGGGTTTGCTCAGTTGCCATGGCGATAATCAGGTGTGAAATGGCCATAAGAGATATCTCCATGACAACTGAGCAAACTCCATCTATGGTTGAAAACTTTGCTTTGTCATCATTAAGTGTTTTTGAGGACCTAGTAAAGACCCATTCACAGTCAAAGTGGGGACTCGGTTTCTCTCAAATGTGATGCAAAACACACCACAGTGTTTCACTCATTAAAGTAATGGTAGTTTGGGGTGTTTGGACAGAACATTATGTTTTCTAATCTGTTTTCTGCACGTAATATACCAACAGTACAGTGTGTCATATTTTCTAGTAGGTGTATTCCTTATCAGTCTCCACTATAGGCAACGCAGTAACTTTTCAAAGAAGAAAAAATCACCCTAAATAGTAACAGAAATGCTATTTTGTCTGAAAATTCTGGTTTAAAACCGTTTAGAAATAAATGTTGTCTCTATAAGAAACGACTTAGAATTTATACAACCAACTGAACGATGTTTAATTTCACTGCATTCTTCCAATCTTGATATTTCATGCAGTGAAACAGTGTCAAAGCACGATGAGCCAGCAGAAATGATATCGCCTTTCACAAAGTGCTTACTATGGGTTGACAGGTGCTTTGAAGTTTATTTGGATGGACAGGAAAGTTTATTTTGTTGAGGTAGGACGCTGACTTTGGATGGTTTTGACTCCTGTGAACACATTTTTAAAAGGAACATGCTTAAGTGGTTTGTTGGGTTCTTGTGGGCAGTGCATTCTCCTTGAACAGTTGGCTGTGGTCAGGCAGTTCGGTTACAACTGTTCTGTGTTTTTCAAATGTGATGAAAACATGTGACATCCATACGTCCACTCGGCCCTTGCGTGCGGTTTGTGCATGTTAGTAGTTGTGAACAGACCTGCAGTGAATTACTCTGATGTGCTTCTGAACAGGCTTTCTGCTCCTGTTAAATGAAAACCTGAAATCTTGAAAGGACATGAGAACATTAGTGTTTGGATGATTCATAGGGTGAATTGTTTCAAGCCCTTCCCGGGCCAAAACCCTAGTTATCTCACATATTTCATACACTATTCTCATTCATTTGAATGATGCAACAAAACAGAAATAGCATTCTGTGAATGGCATATGGACTCTTTGTAACTGAGCATTAAGTAGGTGAGGGTGATGCTTCTCATAATGTTCATAAAAATGTTTTATTGTGTGTTGTTCTTTCCTAGTTTCCTGCTGGTGGATGAGGTGAGCGTGATTATGTCTCGCAGACTAACCAAAGAAGAGTTGGACGCACAGTTTGAGCAGTTCTTAAAAGAGGTAACGCAACATTAATGCGTCTGTGCCGATGTTTGTAAATCATCCTCACACTATCAATTACCCGTATAAAGTCTTTCATTCATCTGATTCTGATCATCAAAATCTAAATGGTCACTTATTATTTGGGTGGTGGGTTTTTCATCTGTCACCCCTCTTGGGCTATATTTAGAACTGCCTGTAAACATTAATGACCAGCAGCAAAGATTAGCCTACAGTCAGCGCCCCTTAGAGCGCCGACTGCATGTGAACTGTGCTGGTGCTGAAAGGCTAATATCAGAAGTGATTTTACTGAGAAGTGTTCGTATCTCAGCCAAACAGAATCAGAATCAGAAAGGGTTTTATTGCCAAATGTTGAGCGGGTTTACAACATTAGGAAATTGCTGCGGTGCTTCAGTGCAAACATAC